GGGGGGGGATACTACTGTTAGGGGAAATGTGCAAGAGCTTCACTAATTAATTCTTGGATAAAATGGTCACAAAATCCATGTTTCTTAGTATGTTGGCATCTTGTTAAATTCAATATTGTTTAATTCAACTCTCTTAATCCGTACGTTACATATCGAGTTTTGAGGTAAAATACTCAAATAGTTAGCAAGTCCACAGCATCCAACAGTTACAATAATTTCAAAATATTTTAATCCAGATTCAAGTAGTTAAAAAGAAAAAGAAAAAGTTCCCTTTCCCTTCCTCAAAGGAATTAAAGAAATGATCGTTAAAGATCCCACCATTGATGATAAATTAAAAAAAACAAAAAAATTCTTGATCTTGAGATGTTGAGCATGAAGCTGAGTCGATCACCTTGAGGATTCCAAGCTTTATTGAATGTTAATGATGGTGAGAATGATTATAGCTAGGTTGACGACTATGACAAAGAATTAAGCTTTCTTTACCAAGACAAGCCCATCATTATCATTAGTGTTGTGGTTTCATAAAGTAGGAGCTAGCTATCAAAAGAAGGGCACCATCGGACTAGAAGCCGAAAATTTGTTTTATAAGATTGTTCTATATATGATTAATAAACTAAAAATATAATTTAAAATAACAAAAAAATTAACAAAGGATGATTCAACGCTGCTGCACCAGACGCTGACTAATAAATCACTAAATGGGTTGTGACCCTCCATTAGTGAGGCTATGCTGCATGCAGTAGTATTTGTACCACTGTTCTAAAACCCGGCATGGCCCAAACTAGTGGATTTGAGAACCTATCAACTTGAGCCCTGGACCAAGGTTTTTGTTCAGACCAGCCATGTAGGAAATCCAATTGACTTGATGGTCAACTCGTGACCTGAAGATCAAATTGACTTTTCATCTTTTGTTTTCGTCTCAAGTTGCGTTTATTTTCTTTTAGACAACGCCATTTTGAATTAAAAAATTCATTGAGCTAGGTTCACTCGCTATTCTTCGAGTTGACCTGAAGCATCCATGATACCTTGCCAGCTTGGTGTTTTTTCCTGACAAAATTCCGAAACCCTCGAGTTATTAAAAAAAGATTAAGGTAATGGCATCGGATTCCTTCATTTCTCCTGTGAGTTTGATTCCTGGCATTAATCCAGAGTCCGACATGAGCGAGATTTCACAATTTCTTAGACAACCATTAATTCAAATATTAGAGTACTATATTCTTATTTACTGACACAGCTAGATATTGATTTATCATGATAATCACTATGGATTAAGCTTTTATGTTGTATATATTTCAAATCAACATATGAATATACGCAGAAAATTGTCTGCACTTGGGAGGATGTGAGCCTTGTCCACACAACTCAAGCAAGCCCTTAACTGAAACATGGTTAAAGATTGTTTTACTTTTTGATGGAAACACGGTAAAGGTTTTGGTTTTTCTCTAGGCTTGTATCCTATTGAGGATCTAAGCAGTTATCAAGCTCAGTATAGAACCAGATGTGCTGCACATTGAATTCATTGTTATTTAAAAGGAGCACACCAACAGTCAGATAAAAATAAGCCAGACAACAATGAATGAAAAAAGACTCAAAAGCTCAAGCTGAGCTTTCATTAAAGATCTCCGCAGGGAACAGTTAGCCCTCATCTGCAATAAACACAATGTCACACTCTCGTGACAAAATTCAATGATCTAGCTACCTCACTCAAAGAGGCCTCGTGTGACGACCTCTTGCCCGGCCGCAAAGGAGAGCATTTTTCGGAATTGGTAATTCATCTCTCCATGAGTGTGCTGGAGAGTAAACCCTGAGGTAGAACTGCTGACCTAAATATTGCCTAGCCCAGTTTTCTGACCTTATGTTCCACATTCCTACGTTGTCCAAAGCCATATAAATCGCAGTCCATGACTTGGGATAAACCTGCATTCAATCAAAATATTTAGCAAAAACTGCAAAAGCATCTACAGCTTTCACACTGAACACGTTTAGATCGAATAAAAAAATAACAAACCAAAAGGTTGTTTTTTTTGCAAACCTGAGTGGTGCAACGAGCTACCGTGTCTCTTAAATTGTAGCGTGCTCTACTTGCTGGTGTCCATTGCCCTCCATCCATACTGATCACATAGCAAATCTTCAACATTTTTTATGACTGAAACATTGTACAGTATTCTGTACAATGGAAGCATAAATCCTGAGTATTGAGAGTGAGAAGCTTACCCGACAACAAAGAAGGAATGACCATCAATGTGCCATGACTGAACAGTGTCCTCCCAATTTTGGAAAACAATCTCAATGAATTCACGGAAGTTAGCAGGCATGACTGCAGTCTGGAGGTAAGCATTACCCCAGGAGGGGCTGCTAGGCATGCTACCAAGGCTGAAAACCCCAGGAATATTGAAGTAGTCTGCAATTTTTAATGGGGTGTCCGCAGGAATATATGAGACACCATTGACAGCATACCGCTGCTTGCGGTTGATAATTGGACCAGAGTTTGCAAGGGTGATTGTGCGGCTGGTCTTGATCAATCCATAGTGGTAAGACCCTTGGGGATTCGGCCTAGGTCCACTTGCAGTCAGGTTCCATCTGGTTTGAGAGAATATGAGATAAGATTTGTGTTCATTAACCACAACCCCATCTAATATACGTTGTTAATATATACAATAAGTCTCATAACAGCTGAATACCTAAAAGATCGAGCCTGGTTGAGGGACCAATCAATCTGAGTAGTAGGTCCACCAGGAATAGGGCCAGAAACTCTTTGCCATGAATTACTGTAGTGAAGAATGGCAGTTGTGGTAAGTACAGGCTTGGTGAAGCGCGAGGAAACAACTATGTAGTAGTCTTTTGCTGGCTGATCGGCTGTGACGAGGACAGAATAAGATTGTCCAAGATGGATGTCGAGGTCAGAGTATGTATTCTGTAGTGTATGGGATCCTTCTACCTCCACCAGTTTCATCTTGTGCCCCTGGATTCTGAAGTTAATGGATGTTGTAAGGCCAACATTTGATATCCTGAACCTATATGTCTTGCCTGCGGATAGATATACAATACATAGATTGCCCTCAGTTACTAGTGATAAATTAAATCGAAAGATTAAGCATATTTGCAGGGATATTTATAAGTTCAAGGGCAGGAACCTGGATCAACTGTGAATGTGTATCCATTCCATCCACGACCATTGATGAGAAGGCCATCAGGGAATGGGAGATTGTGGCCGCCATCCAAGATTCTTCTCAATTGCTACATAACCAAAGAGAACCTGGTATCAATACTAATAAATAAGAATATATTAGGCTAAAGTCCGTTAATCTATGAGAGCTCTTACATAATGATTTCTCTTGTACCAGTCTCCAGCCAAAACAGTGAAATCACCGGCAGGGGGAGGAAAAGGCACAGGAATGCGAGGCCGGCTCCAGATTCTGATGCCACCAAATGCACCAGCTGCCTTGTGGAATCCTAGGGATGGGAAGTAGAAAAAGCTACCAATCTGGTCCTTCACTTGGAGAGCATAAGTGAAGTTCTTTCCTGGTGGGATTGGGCAGTTAGTGCCATAGACTCCATCTTGCCATGAGTTCCTTCTTTGCTGTATGCCATTCCTGTTATGCCATGACAGCCGAATTTCACATCAACAGTGTTTGACTTAATTGCTTTACTTTATAGACATAAGTGGAAGCTCAAAAAAGTCAGTTGAAGTCTCTCCATATTGTGCTTGAGTCAAACCCAGACACTTGGAGGATGAGAAACGACTACTTTCGTTGTGGGAAGCAATGGTCTATCTCACACCAGGAGAACCCACGCAAAAAGTCTGCACTGGAAATTCAGGTCATGTACAGTATCAAGAAATTGGAGATCATCCAAGGGCTCAATGTTTGACCATGAAAATCAGCTCAGGGTTTCAGATCATATGAAAATTTCCTCTTATTTACTTCCTTAAAATCATGCTATTTGTCTTGTGTAATTTTAATAAATCCTTCAATATCTTTTTGTCCTTTTCCAACTTTACTAATAAATTATTCAACATCTTTTTCTTAATGCACTCCAGCACACTCCCATCGTAATGGCAGAATGGCAGAAAGCACCATGAACGCAGATGCTTGTGGTTCCCCATGAAACAAATAAGGTGGAAAAATTGCAAGAGAGCTGGGATGATAGTGGGTTCTCAATCCACCTAGGGCTAAGATTAAAAACCAGAATCATACTCACAAAAACATGTGAGGCAAGCTTTTAACTCTGGCCAACTATCACCACTAACATTAAAAAATAATAATAATAATAATACCATAGAAATCCCAAGTGATGTAGCTCATCAAGTTTTAGATTTGTTTTTTAAAAATTATTAATTTAAATTTTATAAATTTTAAAATTACAAAAAATTTATATAATTATTAATTTTAAAATTTATAAAATTAATTAAAATTAAAAAAACTATCCACCAAACACTCACGTTTATAAAAAAATAATACCATATGCAAAAATGTGGGGGCAGTGAATATCCAGAGATCTAGCAAGTAGTGGAATTAATTTCAAGGCCAATTGTACAACTGGAATATTTTAACACCGCGTTCATTGTCGGCCAATCAGTGAGTCGTAAGTGAAAGAAATTATTTAGGGAAACTAGGATTTAACCATGGCATTACATCATTCTTAACAGTGATTCTAATGTGAGTGTCAGCTGTAAAAACACAGACCATAGGAAGTAGCTGGAAAAGAGCCATGTTTTTCTGCCCAACATTTTCTATAGATCTGTGTGCAAAACAAATATTTTTGTATTCATGCTATCCAGGAAGGCAAGGACATAAATCCAAATAAAAATATCTTCAACATGCAAATGGCCAAAGCAACCCCATGATTGATAAAATTGAACTACCATGGTGGTGACTTTTTACATCAAAATCTCAACAAAAAAAAAAAATCCCGGCTAAAATTTTTCCATTGTAAAAAATCCCACATTTTTTACAATGGAAAAATTTTAGCCACAGATCTGGTTAGAGAATTTAAACCCAAAACAGAAAGATATTAAGAGTGGCAATCTGCTTGGTTGCGAGGGAAATGCAAGAAAAGAAATTGGCATGTGATTAAGGAGCTTCATGCAAAGGATGATAAACAAAGAAATGAAACATCCCAGACAAAAATGTTAATAATAATAATAATTTTTTTTTTCTTTTCTTCCATTTTCCTACATTTTCTAAGCAACCAAGCAGAACCATGAAAACATCAAGAAAAAAAAAACGGAAAGAAAGAAAGAAACATTGCTGGATAGTTAAGTTTACCAGGAAATGAGGAATGGCTCTCTCAAGTAATTGTAAACACTGATAATGAGGTTCTCATTAGTAACAGCATCAATTTGTGGCCCTGGAAACTGCCCATTTATCAAGATCCCCTGAAACATTCAACCCACAAAACTAAATACATTACTTCAAAACCTTAAACCCGCTTCAAAAATAATTTCCGAAAGCAAGAACACTTCTTTCCAATCCAAAAATTACAAAGAAAACAGGACAAGAAACTAGCAGTACTCCACCTGTTGCTTAACACCAAGAGGGTAGATATCACCATAAGTGATTTTCCATGTAATGAATCTATAAGGGTCTTCACAATTAACACCATTGCCAAGAAACAACAAGAAAACAACGAGAGAAACACAAAAAACCCTGTAGTCTCCCATTTCTAGCAAACTCTCTCTTGTTATACTCTATGTAGCAAAAATTATTTGACTAGTGTTTGTTTGGATCTGTTAAGAAAAGATTTAAGGCTGCATTACATTACAAAGAAACTAAAAGGGGTCTCTCTCTGTATCTATCTCTTCTTTGTTCGGCCATTTTTAAGCTGAGAGCTCTGTTTTCGTAAGGTAACCGAGCAGAGACAGTACGGCGATGATTAGCTGTGCTTTGGGTTTTTATCACATACATGCGTAGAATCTAGTGAACTTTAGCGGTGCAATCAAATCATAGACACCTCTCGGTGTCAAAGTGGGCCACCACTCAGCACCAAAAGTGGATCACTTCTAGATGCGGTCTGATTGGATGATAAAAGAAATCTTTAATTGGTGGATAATAAAGAATTCCAAAAACAAATACTAAGGTTAGTTAAATCTTTCTATTTATTTATTTAAATTATGTTTGAATAATGTTTTAAAATAAATAACAAATATAAATATAGAAAAACAAAACATGTTTAATTTAAAAAGGATGACGAAAACATAAATATAAAAACTAAAGGTTTCATCTTTTATATTTCAAAATAGTATTTTAAAAATTTATATATATATATCTGTGTGTGTGTGTTAAGGTATCTTAGTACAAAGTTATTTTAAAAAAAACTAATTGCATGTTTGAGATTATGGTGCAGAAAATATTTTTTATTTAAAAATATATTAAATTAATTTTTATATATTTTTTTATTTTTAACATCAACATGTAAAATTATCAAAAATACTATAAAACAACCTATTTAATTATTTTTATAAAAAATATATCTTTAAAAAATACCCAAAAATAAAAATTATTGTACCATAAAAAAAACCTAAATGCCATAGGTGTTATAAATAAAAAATGTGTAATATAAGTGTTATGTTTTTTTTTAATTAAAAACAAAATTAAACTACTTAATTTCCATTTTTATGTACCAAAAAATGATTTATATAAAATATTGATGACTTCATTGTCTTGCATTTTTCTTTTCTTAGTTATTTGATTTCTTAATTTTAGGATTTTGTTTTCAAAATATGGTAATAAGGTAGAGAGTTAAGGCTTGTTTATTTGCTGAGAAGTGATTTTTTTTAAATTGAATTATGAAAAAGTGAATTCTGAATATATAATTTATTTTTTGATGTTTGATGGTGTAATAAAAAATAAACTAAAAAATAATTTTCAGTATTTGGTTATGTCATAAAAAATAAGCTGAAAAATAATTTATTAATGTTTTATTTTTTAGAAATTTATTAAAATAATGAGGAACAAATCTTACAAATTAAAAGGTTGAATGAGAATACAATTGAAAAAAATATAATTTCATAAATTATATCAAATAAAATAAATAATAATAAATTAATAGAGATCAAATCTAACAAATAAAAAAATTAAAAGATGAAGAAATTAAAATAATAATAATAATTATCATTCCATAAATTATATAAAATAAAATAAGTAATAAAAAAATATCAAATTTGATAGATAAAATTTTTTAATTAAAAATAATAAGAAAAAAGCAAATAACAATTATAAAAATCAAAATTAAAATTAATATAAAAATAAAATTCTAAGAGATAAAATTGAAAAAAAATATTCAAAATAATATATATATATATATATATATGTAGCAATAAAAAATTTGAGGATCAAATTTGATATAATTATCAAATAATATGATATTTCTAAATTTTTAACAATTTTCAGAAAGTGTTTTCCATGTAAAATAAAAGAAAAATACTTTTTTAAAAATCAAGCTAAATTTTTCTTTGACTAAAAAGTATTTTTCATTGATTAACTTTTCTAATAATAAATAAACACAAAAAAATTGAAAATATTATTTTTTAAAAAATCATTTTTTTAAAAAGAAAAAATTAAAAAGAAGTAAGAGAAATAAAAATATCAATAAAATATGAATTGCCATGGATTACTCTCGAGTGTTTATAGCCATGAATGGTGTCAAACCTATTAAAATGAAACAAATCTTCCCTCTCCAATCACAGACTTCGACCGCTAATCCCCAATTATTACTCTCATTAACACCATTTAATCTGTCTTAAACTCCTCCATGTAGATAAAAAAAGATACATATATTTTTATTTGATTATATATTAAAATAATATTTTTTTTAATTAAAGAGATACATATATTTTTATTTGAATATATATTAAAATAATATTTTTTTAATTTTTAATGTAAATGTATTAAAATAATAAAGAAATCCATAAAAAAAAATTATAATAGGGTGATTTGTTCTAAATGCAAGAAAGCTCTTAGAACAACAAAGAAAAAAAGTTAAAAAAAAAAAAAAGTGCATCGTGTGAGAAGTGAAAGAGTTACCTCATTCACGTGAAGCCTGGAATCACATGGATACATGCTCTGCTACAGACCGCCTGTCCTTGAAAGCTGAGAACCACCCACGGGTGCGATTAATTTTAGGTTTCATTGGATAGGCAGCCCGAGCTAGGCAGCGTTCTATCATTTTTTTTGTCTTGGCAATCAGTCGCCCCTGAACATACGTCTGAATGCTCAGAATTTCTGTAGAACTACACTGGGTGAATTATAGGAGAAGAGGAAAACCTGCGCATCTTTAATATCATGGTTGAATGGTGAATAATAATTTGAATTGTTGTTTTCTGATGACAATCTTTGCTGCCTTTTCATGCTACGTATGGCACGCTGCAGCTTTGCTTTCGTTTTCTTCTTGCTAGCTGTATACAGCGCCTTCATTGTGTGCCTGAGATCCTGACAAAACAGCAACAAAATATTGTAAATTAACCATATTTGTTCAACTGTCATTGATGAATTAGATAGTACCTCCTTCACTGTATCAACGCCAGTTCTGCATGTCAAGAAGGGGCCGGTGAGGTTGTGTAACATACCCATTTAAATTGATAGTATAAATTGGAATCTGAAGACATCCAAGATTGTAAACAAGTTAAGGCTGATTTGGTGATGGTTTCATGTGATGCTTGGCGACTGGATATATATGATTTTGCGATTCTTTCTTGTTGGATAGTGAGATTGAGTGGGATAACCAAAGTCAGGGATTAACTGGGGGGTTATTATGCTACTAATCATGTGGACTCTCAGGGTAGTGGCTGGGGATTCAAGTTCATCTTAGTTCTTTCTTCTATTTTCTGCTACTAATCATGTGGACTATTATGATAGCAGCTAGCTGTTGTTAGTTACTGTAGAATGGCTGCCTCTATAATTCCAATAAAACCAAAATATTGGATCATTCTCATTATAAATACACTCTTTATAACTAACCACAACTTGAACTGTTCGAGGATCTGTGGATCGTCTTCACCACTTGAAGCATCAGTATTATCATTGTCATTATCTTCAATCTTTTCGTAATCGAGGAGAAAATACAGAGTTGAACATCTATAAAAATAAAAGATGAAGGATAAAATCAATCAATTTAATTTAATTTAATTTAAAAATAATTTTTTTATAGAAAAGCTAAGAAAACTAAAAAAACAACAAAAACTAAGACAGCTCATATTATTTTTAAAATAATTAAAAAAACATCATATATAGAAAATAAATTAAAAAATAACAAAATAAAGGAGAATAAAAAAAAGCTAAAAAAAAAGAAAAATAATCAAAGAAACTTGTGTTAACTTTATAAATTGAGGCTAATACTTTAAACTCATAAACCGTTAATTTAAATTCGGATTGAACTAAGAAATTATATATCTAGTTAGCTAATTAAATGTTAAATGATAAAATTAAAAAATCTTATAATGTCAAAAAATAAAATAATAACAAAATAGATTTGACATGAAAAAACTAAAGAACGATGAAATTGCAAAAACCATTTAAAATAAAAATAAAAATAATTAAAAAAATAGAAACCAAACTTGATAGATGATGGGTATGAAATTAAAACAATTCTTAATTTAATAAATTATTTTAAATATAAAAAATGCAAAAAAGAAAAAAACAAGGAATGAATTGAAAAGGACTCTTTAATTTCATAAATTTTTTTATATTTTAAAAAAATATATATAACAAAGAGAATAGAGATGAAATCCTAGGGACAACAAACTTTAGAAGTTGATTTAATTTTTTTACTCCCAAAACAAAAATCAAGTAGGAACAAAAAAAAATAAAAAATCACGCCACACCAGTATCATGTGATATATGCACCGCTAATCTATTGAAGGGATGTCAAGACACTTCAAAAGCAGTCCTATAATCATATTTTTAAGCATTGGATGGCGTCACATTTACTGTCCGAAGATGGCTAATAATGTTCACCGAGAAACATTTTTTTATTTAATTTTTTTGTTTACCAAATTATCCTATTTACTAGCTTTTATTTTGCATAATATTAATTTATTTTATTCTATTCAATCAATTTCATATATATTTTTATTTTTATTATCTTTTATTAATTTTAATAAATAAATTTAGTAGATATAAATAAGTAAATATCTCATTTTGCATTATTAAATTTATTATCTTCAATCTTTTCATAATCGAGGAGAAAATACAGAGTTGGACACCTATAAAAATAAAAGATGAAGGATAAAATAATCAGTCAATTTAATTTAATTTAATTTAATTTAATTTAAAAATAATTTTTTTTATAGAAAAGCTAAGAAGACTAAAGAAACAACAAAAACAGCTCATATTATTTTTAAAATAATTTAAAAAATACTACATATAGAAAATAAATTAAAAAATAACAAAATAAAGGAGAATGCAAAAAAATAAAGCTAAAAAAAGGAAAAATAATCAAAGAAACTTGCATTAACTTTATAAATTGAAGCTAATACTTTAAACTCATAAACTGTTAAATTTAAATTCGGATTGAACTAAGAAGTTATATATCTAGTTAGCTAATTAAATGTTGGATGATAAAATTAAAAAATCTTATAATATCAAAAAATAAAATAATAACAAAATAGATTTTATATAAGTTTCTATTTTAATTATCTTTTATTAATTTTAATAAATAAATTCAGTAGATATAAATAAGTAAATATCTCATTTTGCATTATTAAATATCTTAATTTACATCTATTTTTTAATTTCTTTATTTTTTTCAGTTATTATTAATGACTTTTATTTATTTATTTATTTACATAAATGAGCAAATTATTCTAAATATAAAAAAATGCAAAAAAAGGGAAAAAAAAGGATGAAATTGAAAAAAAACCCTTTAATTTCATAATTTTTTCTAAATTTAAAATATATATATATATAACAAAGAGAATAGAGATGAAATCCTAGGAATAACAAACTTTAGAAGTTGATATAATTTTTTTACTCCAAGAACAAAAATGAAGTAGGAACAAAAAAATAATAAAAAATCATGCCACACCAATATCATGTGATACATGCACCCCTAATCTATTAAAGGGATGTCAAGACACTTCAAAAGCTGTCCTATAATCATATTTTTAAGCATCGGATGGCGTCATATTCACTGTCCGAAGATGGCTAATAATGTTCACCGTGAAACATTTTTTTATTTAATTTTTTTATTTACCAAATTATCCTATTTACTAGCTTTTATTTTGCATAATATTAATTTATTTTATTTTATTCAATCAATTTCATATATATTTTTATTTTTATTATATTTTATTAATTTTAATAAATAAATTCAGTAGATATAAATGAGTAAATATCTCATTTTGCATTATTAAATATCTTAATTTACATCTATTTTTTTATTTTTTTATTTTTTTCAGTTATTATTAATGACTTTTATTTATTTATTTATTTACATAAATGATTATTAATTTCTTTAATTACATGCTTGCATGATTTTTTTTATTTATACTTTAAACAATTTTATGTAAAAAAATATATCAAAATACTTTACTCATCCAAGTATTTTTTTTTTTAATTAATACTTACTACAGAACATGGAATTACACGCTACTACAATTCTATTTTTCCTTCTCAAAAGAAAAGAAAAGGAGTAAATCAGGTTATATATTTGATAATTTGATTTCACTGCAAATTTTGCCTTTTTAGTAAATTATGCTGTAATTAGTAAAAATTTCACTAATGATAGAGTGATTGAATTAATCAAAAGACACCAAAATATTAGCCATCTTACATACAAAACCCTAAGCTGCTAAAAAAAAAACTATGAAAAACCACCCATGAAATCCCTGGTACTAACTCTTGTTCTCCTCTTTTCTTGGACTTTCATTGCCACATTATTCTTCAATGTTTCCAAAGATGCCTTAAACTTTTCAAGTTCCTTGAAATCCATATCTTCAACCGACCTCTCCCACCAACACGCTTCTCCTTCTTCATTAATGTTGCCACAATCCATGTTGTTTCTTTCACTGCTTTCTTGATCACCAAGGTATTGATCAACGACGGTATTCACATCAGGATGACCAAAAGAGTATGGTCTTTGGTTAGGGGACAAAACGATTATAGCAAGATTGGCATCATCATATAAATTGGAAAATTCACTAGCTTTCTTGAAAAGACCATTGCGTCTCTTGCAAAAAGTCACTATTAAGCTGCTTTTGCTCTCTATTTTCTTCATCTCCACCTTCTTCCGGCCCGTGCCCCATCTCCTTGTAGTGTTTACTTCCGTTTCTTGCATGATGGTGTCAAAGAAATTAAAAGGGCCTCGAAAAGACACAAAGAAAGAGAGAAATTACGGTCAATTGGTATGTAATTTTTGCGTCTGAGAAACAATAAACAAGAAGGAATGTTGTGTGTGTGTGTGTGTGTGTGTGTAGCAAGAAAGAATGTTGTGTATGTGTGTGTGTGTGTGTATAAGAGAGCTATTATAGTTTTGTTTCCTATACAGTTTGGTAAGTGATAACTCCCAAAGTCGTTTCCTTCTATTAAGAGAGGGAATTTTGGAAATTATGAAACAGGAAAGCAAAAAGATTACGAAATCTCTAAATTTGATGATTTAATTATTAGTAAATTCTTTTTTAAAAAAGGGTGCTTTCCTTTTTGGACTTTTGGATTTCCGAATTAAGAGTATTTTTCTTATTAAGGGGTGTCTTCGATCATTTCTTAATTTCCATGGACCCTTTCTTAAAAAAAATAAAAAAAATCTAGGAACGTACATACACGCTTTGGCCTTTTGACATATATTTCTTGTAAGATTGATCGAATGCTGATTGTAATCCTTCCATGTTGAATAAATTGAATGAGAAGTTTTATCAACAACGTGGATCCCTAATTTGATAATATTAATGTGGTCTAGAAAAGTACTTCATGCCTACATAGTCCCAATGATTTGGTTCTTTGGTGGATTGGCCTGGTTGGGCTTCACTGTCGGCTAACGAAGAATACTGGTGTTCGACTGATATTTAAGACTCCTCCATAGAGCTGGCGTGGTCGCTGGGAATAAAAAAACTGATTCTAGAGTCAGATTCAGAACTTGTGGTTAATTTATTATCACATGATATGGTGAAGATTGATGCAAATTATGTGTTAATAACAAAAGTAAGAGAGGTGTTGAAGGTGGCATGGGATATGTAAAGATACAACATGCATATATAATTTAATGTGTTAAAGCATCAAGTTGGAAACTCTCATTTATATATGTAAAGATACAACATGCATATATAATTTAATGTGTTAAAGCATCAAGTTGGAAACTCTCATTTATAATTGAAAAAAAAAATACAGATAGCAATTTGACAGCAATGAGGTTGGAATCATATAACAATACCTCGATTCCTTGACAATGCCGGCTAGCCTGGCATGTCTTTAGATGTAGCCAAATGTGTGGCAGCAGCCAACAGGCTGCAGCCTCTCCTCTTCTATTATTTCCGATAACAAACAAAAAATTAGTGCATGGTTTTCTGACAGGAAAAAAAAAAAGAACAAGCAAAATTAGCTGAAATCAGGACCTCAGGCCAGGCTCAAACCAGTCCTTAACCATTTCAATCTGAAACTGACCAGATCACAGGGTTGTGCTACACATTTCAAAGAGATCGATAGCATGGCGCCACTTTATTACTTGTTTCAGAAGTAACTGGTCGCCTTCAAGATTTTCATACATGCACGCCCCCTCATTGGTTCACATTTTGGTGAAATAATATAGTTTTATTAATTGGCTGCATAATTTACTATACGTGCTCTTTTTATAGGTATGGAAAATAGGTGAATAATCACCACACCCACTTATCGTCAGGAAGAAGAATCACTACTCATTATCCCCTCTTTATCATATGAGCTACTACGTCCTGCTCCTATTATCTTCGTCGGTGAGTCATGTAATCCTGGGTGGCCAGGTGTATAAATACTCTAAACCATCCTCACAACATACAATTTCAAAAAAATACTGTTCTTTACCATTACTTTAAACTTTCTCTCCCTCGTTCATCCCTCTTTATTTTCTCTAACTTCACTGACTTAATCCAAATCATAACATTCAGGCCCAAACATTACGTCCAAAATCAGTCATGGAAAGCCCAATATCCTGATCCCTCTCTACTTTCCTTTTTAATAATACACTGTCTCTTGAAGCGTAGAGAAGACACCTTGAAGTCAAGCAGCTAATTAATGCAGTTCAAGATAATTCTGTATGTAGGTTCAACAAATTAAGAGCGATCAACTTGTTAATATTAACTAGGGCAGTCTTAGCTTGTTTTGTCAAAGCATAGGCAATTTAACGAGACATAAAAGATTATAAACTTTGATGTTGTTGTATATTCTTAGTAACTAACTACCTTATCACTCTTTAGTCATCTAACACTTGAAAATGATATATAATCATCACAAGTAATTGAGAGCAAAAAGGTAAGAGGTACAAAATCTTTAATGGGAAAGGGGAAAGTTAGGTTGGTCAACCAAGGTCCATATACAAGTCTACTGCCCCACAAGTCTTAACTCTCTCCTCTACCTCTCTTTCATACTACATGCTGGTGTTTAATTTGGTGCAGGTCATACTGGACAATGGTTTGGTGAGGCTCACAATATTGAAATCTCAAGGGTACTTAACAGGCCTTAAATATGGAGGAATGGACAACATTCTTGACCTAAAATCAAATGAATCTAGTAGAGGATAACCTTCAAAAAAAGCACCACAATTATTCATACTTCAATTCTTTTTTTCAGTAGTCTTGGATAAGCAAAGAACATATTCTAATGCTGCTGCTGCAATTGTAAGATGATCTCACAAGTCCATGTTCTTATAATCTTGAACATAACTTGACAAGTCAACTATATAACATTGTCTCTGTAAAATTTGCAAATATTGGGACATCAATGGCAACTTGCCAGGAGGGCAGGACAGATATCAATTGTATGGCCATCACTTGAACAAAATAGCTATGATACTTTTCTTGTCATACTTGGTTTCTCTTAAATGATTCAAAATATTTGTTACTTTGTATGTTGCAGATTGCATGGAGCTGAGTATAATGCATTTATAATAGTAATGACAAGTTAGAGATTTCATTTATGAGCACCAAACTGCCTCTCAGTATTGACATAAGGTCTTTGATCCATCTGAGCCTTCTTGTTCTTCTTCCAAAATTAATTTTCCTGAACTTATTTTGAGTTTTAATATAATCTTCTTTCTGTTCTTATGTACATATTGAATAGTGGTGTTTCAGGATTCCTCTGCTATGCCATCTATGAGCTTCTGGCAGGATCTCCAGCTTTTGATCTTGCTCAGACAAGGATGGTCTTCAAGTTTGGACGCGACAAGTGACTATGCTCTCTACGCCATTTGCTAATTAATGCCTCTTTCTGTACATGCTTGTTGGCTTTAAGCGAAAATGCTTGTTTTAGGTTTCATTACATGGCAATCACTGATGAGAAGCAAGGGATAATGCTAATGCCTGAAGATCTACTTCCAGACAGAGGACCGCTAATTGTACCTGAGTCAGTTCTTTTGGTAAATCCAATTAATCCTGATCTCAAAGGAGAGGTAAGTAGGAAACGGTACCGATGACTGTTTGTTCCTTCAACTGCAAGATATAATGTTGATTTCATGCTGGCAAAATGCTGTGAGAGCTTAAATGTACCAATATTCAATGGACAATAAATATGGCGTCCATGGATGGATAAGTTCTGGCCCCGTAGGATCTCCAGCTTTTGATCTTGCTCAGACAAGGATGGTCTTCAAGTTTGGACGCGACAAGTGACTATGCTCTCTACGCCATTTGCTAATTAATGCCTCTTTCTGTACATGCTTGTTGGCTTTAAGCGAAAATGCTTGTTTTAGGTTTCATTACATGGCAATCACTGATGAGAAGCAAGGGATAATGCTAATGCCTGAAGATCTACTTCCAGACAGAGGCAAACAGCTAATTGTACCTGAGTCAGTTCTTTTGGTAAATCCAATTAATCCTGATCTCAAAGGAGAGGTAAGTAGGAAACGGTACCGATGACTGTTTGTTCCTTCAACTGCAAGATATAATGTTGATTTCATGCTGGCAAAATGCTGTGAGAGCTTAAATGTACCAATATTCAATGGACAATAAATATGGAGTCCATGGATGGATAAGTTCTGGCCCCGTTATTGGATTCTGGGTCATCTTTCCTAGTCATGAATTTCGAAATGGTGGTCCTACGAAGCAAAACCTAACAGTGCATGCTGGTTCAACTTGCCTAGATGTATGTTCTTTTGTCCTCACAACCAAACACTACTCATATTTCCATAACCGTGCAGCATCCCTAAATGATACGATGTCACGAATGTTAGTGTAACTCCAAGTGATCAATAATTTCCTCCAACTTGCCTAGATGTATGTTCTTCTGTCCTCACAACTAAACACTTCTCATATTTCCATAACCATGCAGCATTCCTAAATGATACGATGTTACGATGTTAAGTGTAACTCCAAGTGATCAATAATTTCCAACATTGAAGGCAAAATGTGCAACAGAAACCGAACGAAACCTGCCAAATGCAGAACAGTGGTTGATCATCCATGCGCGCTTAATTTCTTGTGTGTCGATCTAATGCAACCCAAAATATTGAAATATTCAATTATGGTTTTAACATTTCAGGTTCTTGTTGATCTCCTAGTTTTAGACGAAAACAGTTGAACCACTTGGTCACACAGGTGAGCTAGAAACTTAAGTTACAAATTAAAATAAAGTTGTCTAATGGCGATGATCTATTGCTATAATTCATACCTAATTACATCACAAATCAAAATATTATGACAGCAATTCTCAAGCACAAGCAGCTTAGCCAACTTTCAATGCTCACTGATAAAAATGTGGACAATCCGTTAATTGATACTAGTGATGATAATGTAGAACATTTAATTAACGCTTCAGTTACAAGAAACAGTTCATATAATTTCGATCCAATGAGTTTTATACAAAATCTGTAACAGCATGCTCTGCAAGCTGCTCCAAGCCTTTGAACCTTTGCGTTTGTTTTGTACAAAATTGCATGCAAAGTATTCTCAAAGGATTTTTTGTTCCCTGACTGTATAGTGATCGTCCAGCAAACTTTACAGACCAGATACTGTTAAAAGTAAACCATAATGATCACTAGGCAAGACAGGTAACTCCAACATCTTTACCTCTTTTCTCACCTTCTTCTCCTTCATATATGATAAACCAGGTATGGCATCCTTACCAATCATGTCAATTTTACTGATCTTGAAATCACAC